CAATATTATCAGTCCTGATCTGGTGGCTCAGCTTTTCCACCACTGTAAGGTTGTTTCTCTGTGTATTTTCTATTAATACTTTCATAGTAATTGTTTGGATGAGCTCTTCACTATGGTACCTAGAGTTTTTGAATTTAAGCACAGCACTAGACTGGCATCATGATCTCATCAATTTACAGTTGAGCTGCCTAGATGTGGCTTTAAATTCAATGCTGTTTCTTTTCTCGCACTTCTCACTTGTGGAACACCCTTCCAGCTCCATGCTTTCCAGACAATTTTAATCTGCAAAAATTTAAATGCAATGTCAATCACTATCTACTGTCCTCCTGATTAGTCTTTTCTCTTCCTGCTCGTTATTAAAGTTTCAGTTCCAAATTCTTCCACATTCTGTAAACCTTTGTGTCTTAGTGGCTTTACTGCCTTGCATGGGGTGATACCAAATAAAAAATATTAGCAGTTTATTTATAAAGAAACAATCAGCATTCACAGACAGGTAGTTGGTGATACTGTTGGTTTAAATTCATAAAATCTTTATCTTAAAACAATTTTTCAGGGAAATAGATTTCTCAAGTCCAGTTACTGTTATTGCTATTTCCAGTATTAAAGGGGTTTCCTTCCTAACCTTTTGTTTAGCATAGTGTGAATTATCTACATCTTGATTATGTTATTATATTTTCTTCAAGTTACATGTCATATCCATTTTAGTTGTTGCTATTATTGAAAGTTTTCAAGGGATGTGGTTTCTGTTATTTGGGACAGTTTGTGATTCTGTAGCACCAGATCATAAGGTTCAAAGAAGGATGTTCCTCACTAAAACCTACAGATTACATTCACTCAAAACAATTTTTAACCATTGATCTGAAGAAGTGATTGTATACAGTTAAAAGTTTAGCTATTTCTGAATGGGTTTGGCACCATTTATAACATCCATATATAAGTATATATCTGACAAGGCTATTTAAGAACATGATTCATGTTTTTTGGTTAATTTTTTGGTTTTGTTATAACTAGTAGTGATGGGCAAAACTACCTCTAGCACAGCCTATTCTATGTCCTTATCTCTTTTACTAAATTTGTTATAAATGATCCATATACCAAGATATTTGAAGTGTTTAGTATTTATGAATTTTTATTATGTAAACTATATTTTTAATAATAGAAAATCAGCTTATAAAATTCAAATCTTATTGCAATAAATATTTAGGGAAGGTTTACTTAAATTCAATAAAATCAAAATTCTATTGTACCAAAGCAAAACAGAATTCTTTAAAAATTATTATTTACACTACTAATAGCAAACATTCTAAAAGTACTGTTATACTCCACTGTAATTATATCTATTTCTGATTCATTCTGCATGCTAGCTAGATGTGAGCGCCATGAAGGCAGGAATAAAATAAAAAAAGCTGTTCTCTGTGCATAGTTCTCCTGAGAACTAGCAGACCTGCTTAAAAACAGGTCTCTGATAGCAACCAAGGCAAACTGGCGGGCCACCACCCATCAGACAGGGCACCATTGCTGCTGCCACTGCCATTGCTGCTATCATCACCACCATCACCTCTTAACATGACCACTCCTCTCAATGACCATTACCACTCCCAGACTTGACTAACCACCTCGACTATCCAGCTTCAACATGACAACATTTTGACTCTTCGTACTCGCCCCCTCTGCGTTGGCAAAGTCAAAATCATGACTTCTCCTGACCTTCCACACTTGCATCCTATGGAGATATTTATTCAACTACTTGATGTGTAGAGAATAAGGTAATATTATACCCGAAGAAATCATTCCAATTTCATCTTGGATGTATTTCAATTACCAGTGAGGAAACAGAGTACACATACCATTCCATCTTATATTGTGGAAAGAAGAACTACCAACTTTTATTTGGACATTTTAAAGAGATTCCATCTGTTCGCCATTATGAACTTTTGAATTTAAAAATTCATGAATCACAAATAATTGAACTAACACCCAATATCAGATAAATTGATTTTATATCCATTATCCCATACCCTTTCCATCTTCTGTTGTTTTTGTTACATAAAATCATTTACAAATGTTTATCTTGTGTTTTTTGTTCATTGACACCTGTATCATGCATTCCTATTTGAGAAAACCCATCTTCTTTCTTTTTTTTTAACCTGGGGTTCATATCTCTATATGTTGCAAATTCATAACAGATGTTTTTAAGTGTCTATCATAGTAACTGTCTCATAATTTAGAATCAAACCCTTTATTTAATCCACAGGGACAGATTGTTTTCATTTCACTTTTCATATATCTGATACAAAATATCTTCAATCACTCTACTCTCATGGATTGAATAAAGGATTTTGGTTAAAAATTCCTAGATGGTGACCAAGTATGAAAGATACCTGAAGAAGGTCAGAGAGAATAATAACCAAAAAGGATATACTGGTCCAGATATAAAGGCATATAAGAAGAATTTATTTATAACTTCTCTCTTGGCAAGTAAAGTCCTCCATTTACCATTATCTAACCTTCATTAAAGCCATCCAGGATGTTCAATGAACTTCTTCACATTTCAGTGATATCTGCCAATTATTTTTACAATTTTCTACCAACCACTGCACCAAATGCACAATTCAGAAGAATATACTGTCAGCTATTATTAATACATAGATGTTTTTCAGGGATAACATAGAAAATGGTTTGACAGAAAGGCAAACAGCAAAATAGATCAGATTTACTTCATGCATAAATCGACCCTAAAAAAACAACATAATTACTACATTTTTTTACAATGTCAAGAAGACCATAGACATGATAAACCAAAGGAAACCAGGCAGCACTGTGGTTAATAAGTGGAACCAGGACTTCATAAATGCTGTCAAAACCAAAACTGCAAAGAACCTAACAACATTAGATAGCTATATTAATAGAATTAAAAATGGATCTGAAGATCATCATAATGACTGTATATATACCAAGATGCTAAGTCAACTACCTCTTGGAATCTGTGAAGGCTAGAAGGCTTGGAAGTTGCAAGAAAATACTCAGGTACTATAATCAAGGATTCACTCTATAATCAAGGATTTACTGTTAAAATATGGTCTCAAGAGAAAATATTGAATGTTATTTTGAATTGTCAAAATACTAGTATCTCACAGTCAACAGTTGATATCAAGAGCAGCTTCAGGATCAAACATACATCCCTAGTCATGGTCTTAGGTTTTGTGGCATCTGATTAGAAAATATGATCTATTCTTCTACAAAATTAGCAAAAAAGTGAGTGTCAATACCTACTACAAGGTCATGGCAGAAGGTCAATTATCCAGAGAGCACCAATCTAGAATAATGCTTCTAGCCATACATCCAAAAATATGCAGATGTTTTGCAAAGCTAACTTTGCTGATTTTGAACCAGTGGACTTCTGGCCCTTCTTCAGCCTGGGCCTGAACCCACCAGACTACACATTGTTGAGTATTTTGGAGTAGACCACCAATATTTCCTCTTACTCCAACATCAACACTTTCAAGGCTACTATCAGTGGGGAGTGGGCAAAGATGTTCAATAACTTTGTGAATCACTGGAAGAGTTTAACTATGGAATCACTGGAAAGTTTCTTTTTCAAAGTCCTTCCTAACAGGTATGTCCCTGAAGGTAGTTGCTAATGGCTAGTCCTCTGGGACCCTAACAATCAACACAGGCCTCAACCCTCTTCTTCTCAGACCAACCCTCTTTTTACTTAACATAAATGATCTACCTAAGTGTATACTCTAATCATTTGTGAATATCTATGCTGATGATACAACAGTATTATGGGTGCACCTACAAAACCCTAGATGACCAGAGATTAGCAGCTGATCTCACTTCTGATCTAGTTCAAACATTTCAGTGGAGGAAAATTGGCTGGTTCCATTCAGTGATTCAAAAGTCAAACTAGTTATATTCCATCGGACATTTGATCGGATATTGAACCATCACCAATCACAATGAATGGATGTTCCCTCAGGGAGGCCCCATGCCTTGAGTGTCTATTGAGCCCTAAACTCAACTTGGACCTCAAATGGAGATTGTACATACAATCCATAATTAAAGATGCTGGAAAAATGGTCAGTTCGCTGTACCACTCCAATAAGTACCTGACTCTCCATGCTATCCTCTACATTTACAAGAATCAGATCAGGCTTAAAATAGAGTACTGCTGCCATCACCTTCCAGTCTTGAGAGAGTCCAAAAGTGTCTCCATGTCCTTGTGGGTTACAAATTATTTTCTACCCTACAAACCCTTTCTCACAGAAGAAACATTGTAAGCTTCTCACTGTTCTATTGCTATTTCCATGGAAAGTGCTCAGACAAACTACATTCCTTAGTTCCATGAGTTCTAACCTTCATGGCTAAGACCCACCATGCCACACACATTGTAGCAAACCCCTCTCATTCCCTTCTTATTCCATTTGTGAGATGTAAGTTCCACTCAAGCAGTTTCTTCCTGTAAACTGCTGCTCTTTGGAACCGACTCCTAAGATGTTTTCCCATTCACTACAATCTTAACCTTTTCAAGTCTAAGATTAATTGTTATCTTCCCACATATCCATCTAAGCTGTGCCTTTTACTCTGTAATCCTCTACCTTAAGTGACTTCCGGGCCTTGTAGTTACACAACATTGAGATTGTGTTATGGTTATAATTGAAAAGAATGGACGTCACATTGAATAACATTCATTTTGATATTATCTATAAGTTTTATTTATATCCTTATGTATTAATTGGTCTATTTGTAATAAATGAGTTTCAAAGGGCTCAGTAATTTTGCAAGTTTTACTTTCCTACCCTGTACACATGAATATGCATGAAAAATATGCATACACAAACATGAAAGATAAATTAAAATTCTTAAATACAAAGATGATTTCCATTATTGACAAATTTATCCAAAGCAAGAATACTTCTCTTTAAATGTTTCCTCTTGTTTCTTATAATGATTTGATTTTTACAAAAACTTGGTGCTTACTTTTTCAAATAACAAACATGATTTTGGTGCAAATATTGACTCTTTCTTTCATTCATTTCTCTCTCTCTCTCTCTCTCTCTCTCTCTCTCTCTCTCTCTCTCTCTCTCTCTCTCTCTCTCACACACACACTTTATCTATTTATTTATCTATCTATCTTGTATTTCTATACTGATCAAAAAGTGCCTCTTCAAAATTGGGGTCACTTCTTGTGTTTGTTTGACACTTCTGAGCTTTCAGTTCTGATGCTAATCTGAACACTGCAGGGATTCAAAAAGGCTTTTTGAGAAGTCATTTTTCCAAAACCCTGTCAACTAATTCTATGTGGAGGTTAACCCTGGATCACCTTGTTAGATCTACATTGTTTTCAATATTGATGTTTATCTGTACTGAAGAAGACATTTTTTTAAAATATCTATCTGAATTTTAAAATACAAGAGAATTGTGTATATAAAGAAAAAGAAAAGGGTTACATTTAACATGATGAATGTAAAACTTGACATTATATCTTTCTGTTTTATATTCTTTCTGTTTTATATTCTTTCTGTTTTATATTCTTTTCATTTCTTCAGACAGAAAACTATATTTATTTTATTTCTTTGTAACTTTTGTGAACAGATAAATATGTTGCTGTTCATTTTATCACTGACAAAACTTAATAAGATGCTTAAAGATTTATATGAAAAGTTCATTTTCATAAAAACAGGAAATTTCACTAGTGAAATGTTTGCTTGGTAGAGAATAAATTTTAATTGGTTTGCTTAGTTTTATGACATATGAAGCTTTTCCAGATTATTTAATGAAGAATTTAATAAACAATAAATAGGTTGATATGGATTTTGTTTTTATGGGAGACAGAAATGTAGACATATATGCAGTAAACAGATGACACCTTTTGAATGAGGTCTATCCCTCTGCACAAGGATACACTCAGTACATTCTTGACCCCAATTAATAGAGCAAAACTTTAATTGGTACATGATATGTATTTGAATACATACATATATTAATGTTGTTTACTAAGCAAGCTTAGTGAGGAATTAACTTACTGTATTAGTGAATTAGTCTGTGAGACAAAGATTGCTTACTATCCACATAATAGAGTATAGATATTTATGCAGTGAAGTAAAGAGTGCAGATATTTATCTGTACCCATAGATATTTCTAGACTTAATTGTGTTTGGCAAAGAGCCATAATGATGCTACAACCAGGGTTGATCATATACATTTAATGGCCTTCAAGATTAACTTGAAAACTATTACTCTACAGCATGTGCCCAATACATTTACTTACTCATTTTGCTTGTTACCAAGTATCAGATCACTTAGTCAGAAGAATGGATAGGAATTGTAGTCACTAGGTAGAGTTTTATAAACAGCATAAAAATCTTCTCTGTTGAGGTTAGAAGTAGATTAGCTTATCACAACTGTTTGAGGTTTCCTATAGTTCTACTGAACTTTAAGTCAATTCAGGTTTTCTATGGTAAATATTTTCTATCCCAAGTAAAAATCATCACAAAAATGGCAAAAGTCATCTTGTCACAGCTTATTTTCTCTGAAAAAATAGATTTTGATACTTTTATAGGAGTAAAATATGGAAAAATGACTGTTTTATCATCATCTAAACAAATATCAAGGAAACTTTTGATCTGAACCCCATGAAACTATGTATTTTCTGAAATCAAAGGATATATTCCTTCATTTAAAAGTAAAATTGGCTGGTGTAAATGACTCAAAATTTTTTTTCAGGGGGTAAAATATGAAAAAATAGTGAAAATTTTGCATTTTTTATAGTTCTAAACAAAAATTTTAATGGGAAATTAACCATTTTGGGGGGAAAATCAGAAAGCCTAAATCATAATCAAACTATTTCAGGCATAAAATTGAGAGTTTTGAAGGAAATCAACATTCCTAGGGGGTCAAAATGCAAAAAGTCCATTGGTAATTTTCGATTATATGACTATCAGGGGTTAAAAAATTGACACCCAGCCACGGAAATCTTTAGTAAAAGATGAAAAATTAATCTACAATTCCTGACCACCAGAAACCAAAAGTTTTTGTTTTTTTTTCAAAATTAAGCCAAATTGACTTTGACATGTCTAGGTCAAAGGTCAGCCAGCCAGCAATAAACAAGTTGTCGGCAGCTTGTAATAAAACCCACCACTCCCAGATAAGAGCAAAGAGTGAAAAAAAGGGTCAACATTGGTAGGGCTTGATATAAGGTTTGTTTTTGTTTTTTTTCAAATCTATGTTTCAACAATGGCTTGATGTGTTTTGTTTTGTTTTTAACACCATGTGACCCGGGTGATGACAACAACATTTAGCAGATGACATTGCTTTTTTTGCCACATGTATTTCATATTTCCCATCATTGGGCCATTTAGCCATTCTTTTTATTCAATGACATTCATGCTAAATTAAAAAGAAAGGGATGAAGTTTTAATGATATTATTTTGAAGTGAAAATAAATATTTTTTCATAAAAAAGGTGCTTTTTCTCAGAAAATTGGGCATAATTTCTTAATGCTAACCGCCGAGTGACATTTTCCACAGCCAAACCAAAGATTAATTACCAGTGAATAATTCCATGTGCAAACAATAGCCGTCTGGATCCTATAACATCGCCCGAAAAGGTCCAGAACTTTAGTGATTAATCGAAAACTTGTTGCGCATAATTGTGTTTTTCACGGTCAGTTTCCATTATTTCATCTTGATGTTGTCATTCTCAGACAGCCAAGTCATCTAAGGATTCAGGAAAACAGTTTGGTACAGGTTTGCTTTAAGAACTTTACATTCTATGAGGTGTTTAAAATGTTTATCACCAAATATTTTGTTTATGTGCTATGTTGGATTTTCCTATATGACAAAAACAAGGGTTTTAAACAGCCATGTTATATAAGGTGAGGAGAATTTTTTATATATTTATCATTTGTTTTGTCATATATTTTTAGTATTCTGGTTCTAATCTTGAGCTGTCCAATCATCTCTTCTCACTTAGGTAGATACCATTCTGACTTTAACTAATGGATGTGTGGGTGGTGTAATGGATAGCAGCTCAACATGAGAAATCATAAAACAAAGTTCAAATTCCATTCAGGTTTGTTGGATTCACTTATGCACAAATACCCTTGGAAAAAATATGAATCCATCACTTCCTCCCACATATGGATTGAATAGTAGTAATTGTATTTGGAAAACTCATTTTTATTATAAAAAAAATTAATGTAATATTCACTCAGAAAAAATTATTATTCTTACAATCCAAAATATGTTTCAGTTTAAATATGCTACAAAGTATTTATAAGCTGTAAAAAAAAATCAGTCAATTCTGATTTTAACTAAGTTAAAACTTTACTAAGACAGAAACAACCAATCAATTAGATGCATGTTACTCTACTCATAATTGGCACTCACTCACATCAGGATCATTATCCTCTCTCCTTATTCCCTTTCTCCCCTCTGGTAGCTGTGGTGGAAATGGCTGTGAAGGCCCAGCTTACTCCTAGAGATTCGTGAGCAGAAGTCACAGAGGAGTGTGGATGGCAGACACAGCTAGGTGAGTCAGGCTCTCTGACAGCACATCAGAGATACTATTCATGTTAATGGTCAGACTCAAAAATCCAAGTTCCCCCTCGGATGATGGTCCTATGCCAGGGAAGCTGATTTGCAGCAACCATTTCCCAGGTCTTAGGGCCAGTGTTGGCCTGTATTAAGGATGTTTTCAATTGATCCTTGAAGCCTCATTTTTCACCTCTTGCCACTGATGAATTCTTCAAACAGGAAGGCACTCTACTCATAATTAAACAATCACATTTAATCTACCTATAGATATTTCATTAGTGTTATAGTCCTTCAGTAACTATATATGAAATGGAGGTGGGGGTTCAGTCACTGAGTAGTTCTTTTAGCCCTCCCATTATAAGTAAGCTTATCTTGGTGTCTGCCTCACCCACTAACTCAAGTAAAATGTTCCCAACTCAAGAAGTTATAAGCAATCTATGATACAACTATGCAGAAGTCAAAACTTTCCTATCTGAAACTAAATTCAGCCAATATACTCCATTTCAGGAATTTACAATGCCAGGTATATACCCCTACTCATAAAAGAAGACCCTCAAAATCAGCATAGACATGAACTTGGTGCCACTATCAAGGATAGGCTCCCCTGTAGCAGAGACTCCAAAAAGAAAAACATTGAATTCCTATTCACATGCTTCTGTGTTGTCCTTATTCATAGTTTATCTTTTGTATTCATTAGATTTCATCCACAGGATGATGGTATTGTAATATTTGACAGAATAGCTGAGAAGTTTGATGATATGCTATCTTATCATATCTCACCTATCATTCATATTTCTAGTATTTTCAGTATTCACAATAAGGAATAGTTAGCACACTCAAACATAACTAACAATGAAGGCAAATACTGTCAGGACTTCTCCAAACTGACCCAGAGCATGGTACTCATGTTTCCAATACAGTTGGGCATTATGCTAATCTCCTAGACTTCTATCTTACTTCATCTCCTGATAAATACTTTGCTGAAGTGTTACCTCTCTTGTGTACCTCACTCACTGGTTAATGTCAAAGTTGATGCCAAAATGAACACTTCCTGTACATATCCAGCAATGTTAACTGGGATAGCATCAGATCATACATTACCAAAGCTCCTCTCTCAACATTCTTCAGAAATAGAGTTTCAACAGCAGCTTCCATCATTTACAAATGGGTCCTTTCAGGCATGAAAAGTTTCATCCCCACAAAAACTATTACTACCAGAAGGTTCAGTGTAACAGAACCCTTACTTTTTCAGTTCAACTCAAACAGCTTCTGTGATACTATTTGTCATTGACATGGTAAAACAGAAGAAAGTCTTTGTAAAACATAGGAAATTTTCTTATGGATAGGAGTGATATACTGAAAGACTTTGGAACAAGAAGGGTTAATACCTAAAATCCATGGGAAAAGATTGACAATTTAATTCACATCTAGACAACACCTGGAATTGACGGCAGAGAGTTCAACCCAGCCACCAGTCGTGATACACCCCACGTGATTGCTTGCCAAAGAGAACCCCCTGACTTTACTCTTGTGCTGAACTTTACCAAAACAGCAACCCAAACTTTACCAAATCAGCATTAATATCATTTCTGATTTAGACATGGGTTGGGCTGATAATTAATTGCATGTGAACTCTGATATAACCAATTATTGTATGAAGGACTGATATGAAAATAGTATTTACTTTTTGTTCAATTTATTCAAGTGTTATTTTTTTTCCTATATGTCTTCACCCTGCTTGAAAAAAGATATCTGTGATGATTTGATCTTGGCTGCCTTATGATCTAAAAATCACATCATCAGATAAGGATTGAAGCATTCACTTCAACAACCAGCTGCAGTGTTGGAAGTCTTGGATGATTGGGGAGTGTATTGTATGATTACAGATTGTTGCAATGGGGAATAGACTCCTGAGGGGATGCTTCCTTGATCACCACAATCTTAATCTCTCCAAATCAAGAGTTAAATATTATCTATCCTACATATCATTATAATATGCAAAACTTTCTCCCTCTCTATACACACTTACAACATACCCATTCAGTAACTCTCTAAAATGAGTGGCACTTGGCACACAAAAGTCTGTTGCCTGATATATAGTTATTAACTGAATATTGTTCTGAAATTTTCACTGTATAATGTTTGATTTCTGAGTTTAATATTCACCACTGAATTAAATGCATTGACAAAGCAGAGTATATTGTAAAATATTTGTTGTATAAAATCATATACCTATAAATGTACCTACATATATATATATGTGTGTGTGTGTGTGTGTGTGTAAGTTATGTTCACAATAATAGTGCCCTGTTAATTTTCTTTTTAGCAAGTTGATTTATGTACACCTATAATAACCAGATTCCCAATTATATATTGATTTTTTCAAAATGGAGAAATATTTCATTAGTTGATAAATTATAATTATTATGTTTCTTTACCTATGTTTCTTTTTTATATGAATATTTTCAGTATTATCATTCAGTATATTTAAATTAATTAAAGAAGTCATTGTCCATGTTTGACATAACTGCCATAATTTCTACATTCTGCAAATTGAACGCAGCAATATAGACAGAACAATGTCACTTAATAATTCTTTCTATTTCAAGGAAAAATCAAAATATGGTAGATATTAAATTTTAACAATTCTCTCTCTCTCTCTCTCTCTCTCTCTCTCTCTCTATATATATATATATATATATATATATATATATAAATAAATAAAGAACATATATATAGTATAATATAATATTAAAGTTTAAAGAAAGAAAATGTGTGTATATATATGTGTGTGTGTGTGTGTGTGTATTTGAGTAGACACTGTTTCTTTTTCAAACTATTTTATTTCTGTCTACCAGCCTGAATATTCAAGAAATCTTATTAAAGAAAAATGCGCTCTGTCAAGATTTGAATCTCTGTCCCCTTTTGCAAGAGGAACCATCAATGGATCTGACATGCTTTAACTGATAAGGCTATGAAAAAATAAACAGCACATCTACTCAAATATTGGTATCCACTAAAAATAACATTTAAAGTAATAAAAAATATATCCCTCCTTTCTTCATTCAATTTGAAATATTGACATGCAACACAGATAAAGTTCCCTTCCATCTCCAATCTCAACTCATCGGGAGTACCTCTGTGACATTTCCCCTCTAGAACAGAGACTCAACTGAGTGATATGAACATAACATTGGTTTTGGCTATCATTTCTAAATTAGATCCCTACATACAGGCATACAGATGTGATAAGATCCCTCCAGTCACCCTAAAGAAAGGTGCTTCTGCGATGGCTTTACAACAAATGCCTTTGATGTTTCTTGCTTTTCAGGTTTCTGTCTGCCATATTCATGACTGATGCTAAAATCCAAGAGAGCAATACTCTATACCTTCTTGGGCTTATATTTTCCACAAACATGAAGTGGAACAACTATATTAAATGAATTACTACATCTACTGCTAAGAAAGCTAGTTCATTATGTCATCCCAGAAAATTTTATTCACCAGATCTATCTGATACTCCTGCTATATATTTCAAGATTTCTGGCAAAATTCAAAGAAGGGTTTGTAATCTAATCGATCCTGACCTGGCATCTCGACTTCATTCACTTTTTCATTGAAATGACATGGCTTCTCTGTGTCTTTTCTATAAATATTTTCATGGCAACTGTTCTGATGAGCTTTTTTTTCCAGTGCCTTGACTACATGAATGGCAACTAGGTCACACCATTTTACTGTTGAACTAACTAGTTGCAACTGACACTTCTATTCTAACAATTTCTTTTCTTGCACTTCTCACCTGTGGAACACCCTTCCAGTTTCTTGCTTCACTGCCATCTACAATCTTAAAAAATTTACATGTAACATTGCCATCTTCTATCTTCCTGAGCCCAGTTTCTCACTACTCCTCACTAAAGTCTTCTCATTCTCTTTCACTCCCTGTAACCCCCTACATCCTAGTGACATCATTGCCTTACTTGCAGTGAAACAATTATATATATATATATATATATATATATATATATATAAGAGATACAACTGCAATCAAGAGTAATGAACATATAAAAGTTTTAATTTTTTAAGAAAAATAATTTCTAATATGGCTACAAACCTAAAAAAAATTAAGTTTAACATTGTAAATACTTACTGTGTCTAAGCAAAAATAAGAAATTTTTGTTTATGTACAAAATTATTGGGAAAAGGTACAAAATAAAAGTTTTGGACACACATCAATAAACTGCATTCAATATTTAATATTGTGCCACTTATTTGCTATGACATTTGTTAGACATTTAGAATAATTTGAAATAAGTTTCTTATAGAAATTAACTCCAATTTTTAGCCTCACTCCTGTTAACAAATCACTTTTAGGTTGCTCAAATTTTGATCATTCCTCTGATGAACTCTTATTTTAAACTCCTATAGATTATTTTTGGTCAAGCAACTGACTTGGCTATGCTAAAATCCTTATGTTCATTGCCTTTAACCACACTCTTGTTTTCACAGCAGTATGTTTCAGATGATTATCATTGTGAAGCATCCAATCCTTTGGTAGTTTGAGATGATTTTTTTTTTCAGAATGAATAAAGTTCTTCTCCAGTATTTCACAATACACAGCACTTTCCATTGTTCCTTCAACATTATGTAGCATACTTGTACTTCTAGAAGAAAAACAATCCCCAAATCAATATACTTCCACCAATATGGGTTGGTATTTTGAGGCTTATGTAAAGTGTACTTTTTCTCCACACATATCTTTCCACCAGTTTCCACCAAAGAGTTCAATTTTTGTCTTCCAGAACAAAGAAGGCTCCTTGAGTTGACTGAACAAAAAGTAATTGAAACTTTACATGATTGGCCTGTTTTTTGTTTTTTTTAATGAATCTAAGACTACAATCCTACACAGTGGAGTGTTCAACATTGTATCTTTGTTTTATTCTTTCCCATTTACCGGCAGGTTCTTCTGAAGTTTTATTTGAGTTGTGAGTAGATTTCAAGTTACTTTCCAATAAATGGATGTAGCTGCATATTTACTTAATTTATGAGGACATTTTTTAATTATAGTTCTTATTGTACTGATGGAGATATTAAGTTTATGGAGATACTTTGATATCCCATTCTTCAATGATGCTGATAAATCATCACTCTACAAAATTCTAGAGAGACTTCTTTGCCATATAAAAACCTTTGCACATGCCAACCACAAATTCAATGTTTGTTCAAATTACACACAGGACTTAAATTGTTGATCCTTGTGTATGGTTGACTCTGGTTGGTTGGTTGGTTGGTTGGTTGGTTGGTTGGCAGAAACTTGCAAAATAATTTGAGTATAATTCAATTCCAAACTACAAATTTTATTCT